AGCTGCTTCCACTCTGTCCTATTTTCTTTCCATCTTTCTTTCTTACCTTGCTCAAAAACCCTTTCAGAGGCTCTGTTTCCCTAAACTCTATTTCACTGTTGTCTCTGAGATCTAATGAAACAGATGCCCCTGGAAAGGAGGACTTTGTCTTAGGACGAAGACTGGAGCTCGGAGTTATTGGGGGTGGGTGACGTGGAGAGTCTTCAGGCCAGCAAATATTGGTGGCATCTGGAAGGCCCCTCGATGTCTCTGCTCTGTGCCCCGCCCGTGCAGGAGGTCAGAGCTCCCTTGGACTGACTCCATGCCCTGGGGTAAGCAAGTCACTTGTGATACTTCCTTCAATCCTTACAGCTCTCTTATGACCCAGGAAAGGCCATTTTGCAGAGGAAATCACAGGCACAGAGGAGTTCCTGGATTTAGTACCAAGTCCAGTCACCAGGAAGTTGCAGAGTAGAGACTGGAACCAGGACCAGCTGACTTGTGCTGTTTGTTCAGCACTGCTCTGGCCTTGAGTTTTGGCTTACTCTTGGGTTTCCTTCTGGCTTTTTTTTTTTTTTTTTTTTTTTTTTTTTTAAGATTGATTGATTGACTGATTGATTCATGAGACACAGAGAAAGAGGCAGAGACACAGGCAGAGGGAGAAGCAGGCTCCTTACAGGGAGCCCAATGCAGGACTCAATCCCCAGACCGGGGTCACATCCTGATCCTAAGGCAGACGCTCAACTGCTGAGCCAGGGGACCCAGGCATCCCTCCTGTTTTTTACTCTGGGACTCCCATAAGCAGCTCTGTGAATGTCAACCTCTGACAGCCAGGGGGCTTGCAAGAACCAGAGGCCAATGGGGCAGACCCTGAGAGGGTCGCATTGCCACTGCTGGTTTGCCTTGAGCTCACTGCAGAAAGGCCTCTGAGGCCTGCAAGAATTGCCGAAGTACCTTTATAGATGCCGAAATGCAATCATACAAGAGGCCCAGGCCACTAAATTGTGGGTGATGGGGGCTGCTTTTGAGCTGCAGGTGTTGGACCCCTCCTCCCGTCCAGCAGGGACTGGCCAGGTATCTACACTTCTGTTGTTCTTTGACCCTATTTGGGTGAAGTGTCACAGGCTTGCTCACATGGTGAGTGGATTACGAGCAGCTTCCAGCCCAGAATGTCAGAAGAGTGTCCTCACTTCCACAGGGGGCCTTTGCCTATGGTGGAAGGTCAGTAATCTTGACAGTGGCACTCAGAGGCCCTGCTTCCTGGCCACAGAATGATCTCACTACCTGAGGATATGGGTCCTTTGGCTTCAGAGTTGCACAGCCCAAAAGCCCCTTCTGCAGAACTCCCATGCCGTGGGGTCCCTGGGCCTGCTTTTTGTGCAGGAGGTCTCAGGTTGCCCTGTGGGTGTTGGGATAATGTACTTTCAGGACGGTCAGAGACACCCAGGGTTGTTTTTATTTTTTATTTTTTTAAGATTATATTTATTTATTTGTTAGAGCACAAGCAGGGGGGAGCAGCAGGCAGAGGGAGAGCAGAAGCAGGCACCCTGCTGAGCTCCCCTCAGGAGCCTGATGAGGGGCTTGATCCTAGGACCCTGGGATCATGACTTGAGCCAAAGGCAGACGCTTAACTGACTGAGCCACCCCGGTGCCCCCCAGGTTTGGTTTTCACTCTGTCTGGCTGTGTGACTTTGGGCAAATAACCAAATGCTTCTACATCTGAGCTTTCCTGTTTGAAAAAGAGGGTAATAGTAGCAGTGTGATGGGGTGTGAAAGGGGCCTTTTAAGTGTATGAAGTGTTTAATGCACTGCTCAGCACCCAGGAAAGAGCGGTACCGCTTGCCGTTGTGACCACCTGATGGTCCAAGGCCGGCCTCCCTTTGCGCTTAGTGGGAGTTAGGCTCCATCCTTTGGGAGGGGATTTAATCAGGTCACGAAAGAGAGACTAAAAAGGTTAGTCTGAGGCTGGAAAGCACCCAGCTGAACTGTCGCTCCCAGATGGTTGGCAGCCAGGGACAATAGCCCAGCCCTGGACCATCTGCCCCGGAGAGATCAGGGAAGAGGCCCCATTGGAAGCTGGGTGAAGCCTGGCAAGCGTCCTGGCCTGGCTCATGCACGGGGCTGTTCGGTGAGCTCCCAGACACACCACTTTCCCTGTCTGGTCCTCCCTCAGGCTCCTCATCTCTAAAATCGGTCCCCAAAGATCCTGAACCCACGATGTGCCATGTGATCCCCCCACCCTGCTGGTTCCTGTCATTCTGGTGCAAGTTAACGTTAGCTCTTCCTTTAAATCAGAATGGAAAAAAACCATGAGCCCCTTTCTTAGTCCCCAATCATTGCAAGAGAAGGAAATTGGTGCTGCAGTGGAGGGAGCTGGCCGTGACTCAGCCAGGGGTCTCTGAGGAGCAGGAGTCTCTCCCCACCCTCCATGGTAGGCAGGCTGTCCTAGAACTCCGTTAGGCAGGGGCTGCAGTGCTGCTGGGGACACTGGATGAGGCATAGGGCGCGACAACCTCCAGGACAGCTTCCTGTCCTGCTCCCGATGCCTCTATAGAGGGCCTGGCTGTGCATTGGGGCCAGGGGGAGCTTTCAGTTGGCCCCGTTTGCTCTGAATGCGTTTGGAGGGAATGAGACTTGGGAGCACGTCTGGGAAAGAGCTGGGAGCACGGGCAGAGGCCACCCTGGTCTTGGAGCCCTGGTGACTCACGCACTTGCACCTAGCCCGGGCCGACTACAGCCACGCCCTTGTGCAGGCTCATGGGATGCAGCCCTGAGCAAAACAGTACGCGTGTAGGTAGACATATGGCTCGTGTGGTCTAGGGTACGTGCCACGAAGGAAACCAAGCGGGAAGGAGGTCAGGAGGGAAGGACAGAGAGCTGTCCTAGGATGGTAAAGGGAAGCGCCTCTGAAGAGGTGAAACGAAGGCAGCGTGAAGCGAGCGAGGCAAGCCCGCAAGGGACATGGTGGAGTTACATTCTAGGCTGATGGAAGAGTGTCCAGGCCTTGAGGCAGGGATGAGTTTGGTGAGTTCCAGAAACAGAAGCAATGCCAGGCGGGCCTGGAGAGTAGACGTGTGTGGGTCAGAGCCTGGCTGCGTAGGCCCTTGTGGGCCCTCAAGGAGTTTGAATTTGATCCTAAGCGTGAAAAGAAGTAACTCGGTGAGTTTCGAGCAGGGGGGTTACCTGAGCTGTTTCTCAAGGATGGCTCCAGTTGCTTGGGGAGCCAGGAGGAGGCCCCTGCAGGGTGGACCATGAACAGGTGTGAGCAGAGGGCAGGGAGGAAACCGGCCAGAGGCATTACTCATTCTGAAGGTAGAACCAACAGAGGGCAGGGAGATTGGCGGTCAGAGGGAAAGAGAGGCATCAAGCATGACGTGCAGGTTTTCTGATCGAAACTGAGTTGAGGTGGCTGTGGTGCCATTTAATGAGAAGGGGGAGGGTTGGCGGAGCTGGTTGGGGCAGGGGGAGAGCAAGGCTCCGTTTGGGCACCTGGCAGGACTGAAATGTCAGCTGTCCGCCAAGCACAAGTCAGGTGGGCCTCAGGTGCTCGGTTTGGGAGGTGGATCCGTGGGTGAGCTTGTAGAGTGTCTCAAGCCATGTGAGACATTACGGCCTCCTCTAGAGAACCCGGCGTGGGGGGGAGGGTGTCCCTGATGGAGGCTGAGCCAGCAGGAGAGCCGCAAGAGGGACCAGTGCCTCGTGTCAGTTCGTGTCGGCAAAGCTGAGCGCCTCAGGACAGGAGGGATGGCCGGCTGTGTGTCTGCTGTCTGCTCAGGTTAAATCAACTGGGAAAAAAGACCTGACCTCCAGGGCTGGCAGGAGGCTAAGTCACCGGGGACCTCAGGCGGTGGGGGCAAGGCTGCGGGCTGGGTGGTCAGTGCTTGGCCACCCTCAGGCTTGCCTGCGTCAGACACTTGGGGCGGGAAAGGAGGTGCTCACGGGTCCCACCCCAAACAGTGGGCACGTCAGCATTTTCTGAAGTTGGTGTGTGATTCCGAAGAGGTGGCCATCTCCTGGGGCTTTCTTGAAGGGGCCTTGCCTGCCCACCCCAGGCCCCACCTGGGGCCAGAGCGAACAAAGGAGGCAGGGATGTCTTGAAGGGGGAGGGTGTGCCTTGGAGAGGTGAGTCCTAGACCAGCCTAGCCCTGCTGTTTGTCGGGAGGTCCTGGTGAACGGCAGGCAGGTGCCAGTGGCCTATAAAGTACTTAAGCAGAAAATCGGGCAGCTTAATTTTCAGAGACTAGGTGCTTTGTTTTATATGGAAAAACCTCTGGTTTAGGAGCCTGTGGGGTGTATGCGGTGGGGGGCAGGGAACCCTTTCCCTTGTGGTGCACGTGAGGCAGCACCTGGTCCCAGTGGGGTCGGGGGTGGGGTGGGGGGCCTTTTCCGGGGTGGATGCATCCTTAGGCACAGGCCTGTTTTAATTCAGTAACTAATAACCCAGGACCATGGAGCACAGGTGTGCCCCACGTGGCGTGTAGGTGCCACGGGCCCTGCGTCCCCCGCAGTGGTGCCCAGTGCTCTGGAGAGAGGCTCACCTGGCCCGGGGAGCCTGTGAATGCACCTTTGGAGCTGTCATGGTGCCCCAGATCCTGTACCAAGGTGAGCCGAGGGGCTTTCGGATCACAGAAGAAACAGGGCAGGGCCTGATGTCTGCGACTCTGTGGCCTCCAGGCTCTGCTCTGGCTTCTTCCTCTCTGCTCTCTGGGGCAGGGGGCCACTGCGGGTGAAGGAGTTTGTCCAGGGGTTCAGGGAAGGTAGGTGTGGGTTATGCACAAAGCATGGCCGTCCCTCGGCTCTGGGGTAGAGTTCCCGTCACCTGCAGGGACTGGGGGCTGCCTTGCTCCTGTTCTGCCCGCAGGGACATTTGTCAGGAGCGACCCTTGACTAGTGGTGTGGACGCTCCTCTAAGAAGCACGTTCATGGTGCTCATTTCGAATCTAACCTCTCTCTCTCTCTCTCCCTCCCTCCCTCCTTCCCCACTTGTCTCCCCCCCACTGCCCCGCTCCTCCTCTGCTTAGTTGGCTGGAGTTGTCTTCCTTGGAGTTGGACTGTGGGCATGGAGTGAAAAGGTAGGTGTCCGTGTTACCAGGACGGTAAGCATCAGGGAGCCCGGACCAGGTTTGTTCAGCTTTAATTGTTGCTTCATCCAGACTCCTCCCCAATGAGCACTCTAGCACACGGTGGTGTCTTGCCCTGGGCCTGGTTCTGCGTCCCCGTGGTGGGGTCACTGCTGGGGGCCACGGCAGGGCTGGGCTGGTTGGGTTTTTGAAGTCCGCAAGTGTGGGAAGCCCGCTGTGCTGCTCCCAGAAGCCTCAGGTGGCCTGGCGGCTTGTGTGCAGCTGCGTCCCGGGCGGGCCTGGGGCCACCTCTGCTCCTGTCTGTGCCTCCGGGAGCCAGCAGGTCCTTGACCACAGTTGTGTTGATTCCTGTGTTCTTGTCCTTCTGAGGGCAGGGGCAGGGCTGTGTTACATGCCCCGTGGGTGCCCGTAGGGGTAGGGCCAGGTCCCTACACACCTGGGAACCTCACGGCCCAGCCTGTGCAGGAGAGGTGAGGTGGGCAGACCAGGCTCTTCCTGTCCAGAAGGACAAGGGCAAGTGTGAGGAGCATGAGGCCAGGCAGGAGGTGGTGGGAATTACAGCATCCTCTTGGGCCTCAGGCACAGAACCTTCCTTTGCTTCCAGGAGAAGGAGGCGGGAGCACTAAAAGATCTACAGGTTTTCTTACCATGGCCTTAGGAGGTGAATAAGACCTGCCTTAGGGTTGGGGCATCTTCAGGGTAGCCTGTAAAGGTCAGGGGCTGAAGTGCAATGTCACTTTGTCCTGCTGACAGGTCCCTCAACCCTGTCCCTGCAAACCGTGACTCATAGCGCCACCGTGTGGCCATCTCCTGAGCAGCAGCAGCTCCTCCAGCTGAGCCCCGAGCTGAGACCTGGGTGCCCCCGGGTGCCCCTGGGTGCCCGGACAGGTGGCTCCTCTCTCTTCCCTCCTTTGAACCCTACAGGACTGCTCTGTCCCTTTTGGTTCTCACCAGCCACACGGGACTGTATGTATTTAAATTAGTTAAAATGAAACCAGTTAAGGTTCCGTTCTTCAGTTCCACTCAGGTGCTCACTAGCACAGGGACCAGTGGCTACCATTCGGGACAGTGAGGGTGTAGAACACCTCCCATCATCACAAAGGGTCTTGTGGACGGCGCAGCCTTCGCCTGCCTTTGGTGGGCTTTTTCCACAAGAGTGTGCGCAGGATGGTGGGGTTCTCCAAGTGGCCTAAGCCGCCACATAGCCAGAGGCCAGGGTGAGGCTCTGGCCCCTAAGGTGCCTTGACCAGAGGCCTCAGGGGTCTCCAGGACCCCTTCCACTCCAGGCCTGGCATAGGCACCCTGCAGTCTACAAAAAAAGCTTGGGTGTGCATAGGGAGGGACTCACAGCCAAGGCGCAGCCCAGGATTGGTGCCTGTGAGGGCCCTGGAAGCCGAGGCAGGCAAGGATCTGCAGGCAGAGGGGCCCCGAGGGGGCAGGGGGGCAGGGGGCAGGGGCTGTGCTTTGTGCTCCGGCCTGGCTTTGAATGACCGACCGAGCCTCAGAGGACAGGTCCCTGTCCTTATTTTATCTCTGGACACAACCAAGCCCCCCCTCCCCACGAGGCACCCTTGACTCCCTGAGGCTGATGCTGTCTCTGCCTCTTTCAGGGGGTGCTTTCTGACCTCACCAAAGTGACCCGGCTGCATGGGATCGACCCTGTGGTGCTGGTCCTGATGGTGGGCGTGGTGATGTTCACGCTGGGGTTCGCTGGCTGCGTGGGGGCCCTGCGAGAGAACATTTGCCTGCTCAAGTTTGTGAGTAGCCCCAGATCCAGGGGTGGGGGGGGGGACAGGGAGATAGGGGTGAGGGCTTTGCTGGGCAGGCTTGTGAAAGCTTACATGGTGGGGGGGTAGCTCTTGTGGGCCCCCCAGGCCCTGGCAGTGTGGGGAGGACGCAGCCCTTGTTGGTACCTTGCTTCCCACCGAATGGTAGGCTACGGGGAAGCTGCGGGCCGAGCTGGCTCCCCAGCCCTGGAGAAGCCCGGGGCCCCCCAGTGTTCAGCTCCCGGAGGGAAGGGGTGGCTGGGCAGCCAGCTCCTCGCCCCCTCCCCTACGTCCTGTTTCCCTCAGAAGTTCCAGAAGTTTGAAACGAATTGTTTGTTTGCTACTCACCTTTGCCCTTCTTGGCTAAGATCAAAAGATGTTGCCAGTAAAGTTAGGAAATCGGTTCCCTCCTCCAGGGTGTGTAAATCTGTTGGGATGTGCGGTGCAGAATCCTTAATTTCCTGCCAGAACCGCCAATTACTAAGAATTTGGTTTTATATTTAGATACAAATTCACATTGAAATGCATTCAGTTAAAATTAAATAGCACCTGGTGGGGAAAACACATAATCGTGTTTTGCAATATATTATTTGTGGAATTTATTAGATCAAGCCTTCTCTTCCCTGGGCTTAATTTAAAAAGCAAACACGTGGGGTTTTTTTTTTTTTCCTCCTCTTAAAAATATATTTAGTGCCTTCCTTCTCTGTGAGTGGTGATTGCGGTTTGGAGGGCCCTGTGTGTACGCCCGTCTGTGTGTATGTGCGGGTGCTTTCCGTGTCCTTGACCTTCGGCTGCTGTGGCATGGCTACTTACAGCGCAGGGTGACCGGTGATGGCAATGGTCGGGAGAACTCACGCACTGCTCGCTAGATGTCTGCCAGGTGGGGGGTGCGGGTGCGGTGGGCCCTTGCAGAAGAGCAGCACTGTTGTGCCCAGGGGCGCTGTGCTTCTGGAGAGGTCTTGCCACACACAGGGTGGGTAGTGGTAAAGAGCCCTGCCGGGGAACTCACGTGTCCCTTGTGAGCTGTGTATACTCAAGCAATCTACCTGCCTGGGTGACCCTCAGTTTCCTTTTCCTTAACGTGTGGGTGACGCATTAGATTTCTAGCAGCTTGGATGGTTGTGTGTGTGAGGAAAGTGGTCAGAGCCTGTGTCTGGGGCACGGCCCTAACGGAGCCAATAGCCTGGTGTGGGGTAGATTAACCATCCCTTCCTGGGATGAGGCTTCCTTGTGGGGGAGGGGAGCTACATCACAGGAGAGGGGTGAGGCAGTGGCCTGGAGCTTTCTCCTCCCTTCCCTCCTCTCTTACCAGTGCTGTCGTGATGTGGGTGGGGATGCATGTGTCCACTTAGAGCTGGGGCAGGGTTGCTGGCCAGGACCCAGGGATTCCTGGGGGCGCCAGCGCTGGTCTCCTGGATGTGGAGCCCACTCGCCTTGTGGCAGGCGTCCATCCTGGGTCCCGCGAGGTTTCCCCCCGCTGGAGGCTGCAGGTGTCATAACTCTCCATCGGGTTCTTGTCCTCGTGCAGTTCTGCGGCACCATCGTGCTCATCTTCTTCTTGGAGCTGGCCGTGGCCGTGCTGGCCTTCCTATTCCAGGACTGGGTGAGGGACCGGTTCCGGGAGTTCTTCGAGAGCAACATCAGATCCTACCGGGACGACATTGACCTGCAGAACCTCATCGACTCCCTTCAGAAAGCGGTAGGCACCCCTGTCCTGGGCGCCCTGGTAGAGCGTGGGGGTCCCCGGCGGTGCCTGCTGCTCTGGGCACACGTGCGCGGCTAGTGGGAGGTGCGGCCCCCGGCTCTGTCAGTTTAGCTTTGGCTACTGGTGCCTGCGCACTGGCACAGGCGTGTTCGAAGCGTGTCTGCCCCCATCTGCAGGGGGCAGGCATCTAGCCACCCTGGCGCCCTCCCCCAGGGGCCCAGGCCCCTCCACCCTGGCCAGGCGGCTGCAAGCCCCCAGGCGCTGTGCGTACCCAGGGACGGGTCTTCCCCTCCCCCGGCGCTGACTCACCATCTGAGGCTATTCCTGTCCGCTTCCTCCCCGGGACCTTTTCCCCTTCCTGTTAGAGAAGGCAGACCTGCCTGGAGGAAGCTTCCCCAGATGGCGAGGAATGTGACCTCCCTGGAATATGTCCCCAGGGGCCTGGCTCAGCTCAGCCGTCCCAGGCCTTGGCCTTTACTGCAGCTGGCCTCGGTCCCCTGCGTGCGGCTGCACCTGGAGACCTGGACCACAGCCGTCCCAACCCGGGGCACGGCTCCCTGCGCGTCTGATCCTCTGATCCTCCGTGCGCTGCCGGAAAACCTCGTTTCCTCGGGGACTTCACATGGAACACTTTGGTTCTGAGAAGAAAATAATCAAGAAAGCATTAAAAATAACTGTGGTCCGCTCTCATGTTCCCTGAAACTTGTTTACCCTTCTGTCGTGTATCCCGGCATCTGGCAAAACCACGTCGGGACCAGGGACCTTTCCCACGTTGGAATAGTGACCTGCGTTCATCTGCGAAAGCCCCAGCCCCACCATTTCCGACCCTCCCTCCCCACCATCCCTCCCGAGCCTCCCCATGCGGGTCCACATTGGCACATGGCTTCTGGCCTGGCCTGGCCTTGGGGAGAGCCTTGGGGATGTGGGGGCGTGGCTGTGCTGTGGGGGCGTGGCCTGACGGTAGAGCCCTGCTGTGGGGGCGTGGTGTGACTGGGTAGAGCCCTGCTGTGGGGGCGTGGCCTGACTGGGTAGAGCCCTGCTGTGGGGGCGTGGCCTGCAGTGGGTGGAGCCCTGCTGTGGGGGCGTGGCCTGACTGGGTAGAGCCCTGCTGTGAGGGTGTGGCCTGCAGTGGGTAGAGAGCCCTGCCGAAGGGGTGTGACCGTGTGGTGACTAGAGCCCTGATGTTGGGGCGTGGCCTGCAGTGGGTGGAGAGCCCTGCCGTGGGGGCGTGGCTGTGCTGTGGGTGGAACCCTGCAGTGGGTGGAGCCCTGCGTGGGTAGAGAGCCCTGCCGTGGGGGTGTGGCCTGCAGTGGGTAGAGAGCCCTGCCGTGGGGGGCGTGGCCGGCAGGGGTGGAGTCCTGTGGAGGCGTGGCCTTCAGTGGGTAGAGAGCCCTGCCTTGGGGGCGTGGCCTGCAGTGGGTGGAGCCCAGCTGTGGGGGCGTGGCCTGCAGCGGGTGGAGCCCTGCCGTGGGGGCGTGGCCTGTAGTGGGTGGAGCCCTGTTGTGGGGTCGTGGCCTGCAGTGGGTGGAGCCCTGCTGTGGGGCGTGGCCTGCAGTGGGTGGAGCCCTGCTGTGGGGCGTGGCCTGCAGTGGGTGGAGCCCTGCTGCGGGGCGTGGCCTGCAGTGGGATGTGCCAGTTGCCAGTTGTGGGGTTGCTTGCGCATGTGCGAGCCCGAGCTGCGTGATGTGCCCATGCAGTGGGGCGAACCCCTGCCACGTGGGCCTCATTGTTAGTGTTCTCCAGTGTCATTCTTTCCTTTTTAAAAGAAATTCTCCAGGGGTATTCAGTAAATTGTGGAGACTCCTCATGCTGAAATATTCGGCAATCATTAAAGCAGCTGGAACCATGGCAGGGTAGAGGGCCGGGGGAGACGGTATTTTATCTTAGAAATAAAAGAAGACAATCAGAAATCCTGGTTGTGTATTTGTTGTGATCACGGCCACAGCCATGTCAGCAGTAAGGACACGTGTAAAAATGGGAGTCCACTCCTGGTCGAGGATGCCGTTGACCTCACACTGCTGTTTTCAGTGTGTTTGGATTCACAGTTTTTTTGGACGAATGGCATTTCTCTTTGTAACTATACCAGATGATGGGGTAGTGGGAAGGGGAGGGCAGGGACCCCAGGTTAGGGGGGCAGAGTAATGATTATGTTACTGTTCACCCCAGTCGCAGTTCTGTCCTTGGCATCTAGCAGCTGTTTTTTGTAAAGAGACACATTAAGGGAACTAAGGTCAAGTTGGAAAGTTCTCTGGGAGGAAGACACTCACTGCCCACTGTCCTATGAGAGAACTGCATCAGAGGTCCTGTGTGGCCTCAGACGGGAGTGAGGAGTCCGCTCTGGGCTGAGGGGAGCAGAGGAAGGGGACGCTCTGGGGAGGAGGCTCTGGACCGGAGTGCTGTGTCCTGGCGGAGCCAGTGCTGCGTGCTGGATCCAGGAGGGGTCATGGCTGAGGCTTCCTGGTTTCCTTCTTTAAAGGCTACCTAGGTGACCACACCCCGCATCTCCGTGCATGCGGGAGGTCAGTGGGGGGCCTTGATTTGTCTGTATGGTATATGGGGCAGCACTTAAACCTCGAATCCCTGATCCCCTGTGGGTGGTCACAGCCCTGGCTCTGAGCCAGAGTCCCCTGACAGCTCTTGGCTTTTGTGATCACAGAACCAGTGCTGTGGGGCCTATGGCCCTGAAGACTGGGACCTCAACGTCTACTTCAACTGCAGTGGTGCTAGCTACAGCCGCGAGAAGTGTGGGGTGCCCTTCTCCTGCTGCGTGCCGGACCCCGCGGTGAGTCGCCTGCCCCGGGCTCGCCGAGCAGTTCCTGGCTCTCTGAGCGTTCTGGGCTGCTTCTCTGCTCTGCTCTGCTCTCTCTCCACCTACCACTGTTGGGCTCCCGCAGCTCCGAAATCCTATATATATAAACCCCAGGCACATTTTTGCATGGCCTGCCCTGGCTCTAGTGTTCTGGGTGAAGCAGGGGAAGACCAGTAGGGTCCCTCCCTTGAGGGGCTCTGCCTTAGGGCGCCTGAACGCAATGCTCTAAGTGTGGTGAGTCCTGGGACCCCTCTTCACTGTTCACTGGAGGAAATGGCCAGTGCACAGAAGCCCCCACTGGGGAGGTGGGGGTACTCTCCATCTGGGGGCAGGGGGAGTTGTGTCTCCTTTCTTCTTCACCTGTTCTCATTCCCAGTCCATGGCCCAAGTCACTGGGTTCCAGAAACAGGGCTCTTGGGATGACTTGCGAAGGAGCACTGAATGTTTGGCAGAACTGAGTCCTTTACAGCTCTTGTGCTCAGCTGTGCCTGGTACTGGGCCCCAGGGCTCTGGGCAGGGAGGGTGTAGCTGCTGTCACACAGCTGACTCCCCAGCCCAGGAGAGGCTCGGGTTTGCTGTGGCTGCACAGCAGGCGCCCCGGGTCCCCACTGTGACCGTGAAGTATTAAGCCAGTAGAACTTACATCTCCCAGCACAGGCAAGGGCAGACTATGACCCATGCGCCGGACCCGGCCTGCTCTCTGTTTTTGTATGATCTGTGAGCCAAAAATAGTTTCAGCCATTTTTAAGTGGTTGACGATCAATGAAAAGAAGGATAATATTATGTGACACGTGGAAATTTTATGAAATTTAAATTTCAGCATCCATAAACAAAGTTCTACTGAAATACGGCCACATGCATTTGTTTATGTATTGTCTGTGTCTCCTTTCGTGCTACGAGAGCAGAGGTGAATGGTCGCTACATACACGGGCCTCCCTCCCACACACAGTGGGCCACTTTGTCCTAGTCTGAAAGGTTAGTTGGCATCGGGATTAAAGGATATGAGCTTTAGTGGAATTTGAACAGGTGTTTGCTGATGTTCGGTTGGAACTTTTCTAAAGCCTTCTACCTGACTTCTTAAGAGAATGAGAACAAAGATGACCGTTTTTTCCTGCTTTTCTTACAGCAAAAAGTTGTGAACACACAGTGTGGCTATGATGTCAGGACCCAGGTGAGTGCATACGACTTGGAGCTCATCAGGTTTATTCCCTGTGGTCCAACTTCCTGATTTAGCACAAGTGCAAATTGGAGTGGGTGAGACTAGGGGAGGTGCCGTCTAAGCTGGGAGCGAGCTGAGTAGGAGCTGCTGGCAGTAAGACTCCGGGGAACAGTGATGGGGTGATTCCCAGCCCCGTGAACCGCAGTCACAAAATCTAGTAGTTGCTGCATTAGTGGAAAGAGGTCAGATGAGAGTTTGGGGAACAAAGGCTACATTTTTAATGGCTCCTTGGGGGGATCCCAGGAGGTGTCTGTTCTATAGCAGTTCAGGATGAAGCTGCAGGAGCACATGGCTTGGTTTAGCCACCATATGGAGGTGGGGTGACAATAAGGAAGGAGACGGATCTTACGGTAGGAGAAAGGCTCAGTCCCCCAGGACTTGCTTCAGGCTGCAAGGGGTGTGGAGTGGAGAGAAGTGAGTACCCCCCATCCCACACACTGCTCGGTGGCCTTTAGTGGTATGAGTGACTGCTGTTCTGAACGAGGGGACTTGGGGCATCTCCAGGTGCCCCTCCTGTAGGCCATAGACACCAGGATGTGTGCCTCCGGTTTGGGAGACCTGAAGCCCTTCTGTAGGGACCTCTGTCCGTTGCACAGGGGCAGGCCTGTACCAACCTCGGCCTTTCATTGTCACTTGCATTAGATTCTAGGGCTGTCAACCCAAGTCCCGCAGACTGGCTGAAACAACGAAAACGCTCCTCTGAACTTGAGGTTCGAAGTTCATCAGGGTGTTGGGAGGGTTGGTCCGAGGCCTCTCTCCTTGGCTTGTAGGTGACTGCCTTCTCCTGTGTGTGTCCCCACAAGGTTCTCCCTCTGTGTCTTGTTGGGTCCTGATCTCTTTCTTTAAGGACCCCAGTCATATTGGATTAGCACCCACCCTAATAACCTCATTTTAATTTGTTTGCCTCTTCTTTTCCATATATTTGTCGTTCTCTGATGGAGTTAGTTTGCTTAGCATCCATCCGTGTTGTTGCAAAGGGCAATATTTCATTCTTTTTTTTATGGCAGAGTACTATTCCACTGTACAAATGTACCAAATTTCTTTCTTCTTTTTTTGCCTTATATCTAGGATTAGAGTTTGGTGTAGAGCCAGAATAATGATTAGGGTTAGGGACGTTTTGAGTGTGTGTGCTTATTGTCTGGCAGTTCAGAGACCTCTCCGGAGGGAGAACTTGAGAGTTAGAGTTCTGGTTAGGGTTAGGGTTTGGGTATGTGCCTGGTATCCTGCAGTTCAGAGACCTCTGTAGAGGGGTGTTTTAGGGTTAGGGTTAAGGGTTGTATTACTTCTTTTAAACCCTGTCTCCAAGTGCAATCAGGTTCTAATGAATTGGGGGTTAGGACTGCGACATCTGAATTTTAGGGGGACCCAGTTCAGCCCCTAACCCCATTAAAACGGATTACTGTCCCATCAGTGTTGCCGTGGGTGAGGCTGTATGTGGGCAGGTGGGGGTGAGGTGGGCCCTGTGTGCTGGAGGCACCTCCCCTGTGCCTACTGAACCTCTGGTAGGGGGCAGGATCAGAAGGATCAGAAGTCCTGTTGGCTGAGGACTGTTCCTGCTGGCTCTGGAGCCCAGCTCAGCTGGGCGGGGGCCACACTCTGGGAAGCCACTCTTCCCTCCTTCCCCAGCCAGCTGCTCTGACTCAGAAGATGCTGAAGGCCCTTCTAGTTTTTCTCTTTAAACGGGCATCTTCCTTCTCGGAGCCCCCAGGCCCCTCCCTGTCCTTCAGATATGGGCTCAGGGCATGTGCCAAACCAGTCTCCCTTTCCGTCTGGGGAGGGCCTCACAGGAGTGGGTAAAGACCACCGGCGGGGAGCCTTCGGGCAGGGTATGAGAGGCAGGTGGACACCGAGGCAGATGGGTGGCAGGTGTCCTGAAGAGGTCGTCTGTCCTTGGCACCTGCCTTCCCGCACCCTGGCTCCCACCTAGCTTCCCCCTGCCAGCCTCAGGAGCCCTCTGGGGAGCCCGGGTGGGGACATCCTGTGTGTCTTGGGCTCAGGTTGCTGTGATGTTTCCCTGCAGCTGAAGAGCAAGTGGGACGAGTCCATCTTCACAAAAGGCTGCATCCAGGCATTGGAGGGCTGGCTACCGCGCAATATCTACATCGTGGCGGGCGTCTTCATCGCCATCTCCCTGCTACAGGTTCGTCCCCTCTGCCCTTCGTGGCTTTCTTTGTCCTTGGGGTTCACACCTGTGTATTTGAACCAGATTTCACACGTGGGAGGACTGGTGGCCAAACAGTGGGTTGGCTGGCTGGTGGCTGCCAGGAGAACTGGGGGGGGTGGGGGGTGGAGGCAAGAACTCGGCACGTCAGAGAAACCAGGAGGTGTCCGGGGTTCTCCGGGCTTCGGAGGAGAAGCTGGCAGTGCCCAGGCAGCCTCTGGGACAGCTGCCGCCACCGCATGGAAAGTGCATCGTTTAGCTGTTCTGTTGCCGTGTAAAGGGGGCCTGGTGTGGCCGCGGGGCCACCAGCCGTCCCCGCACCCCTTCCTCCTTGGCCCCTCAGGTGTGTGTTGAGTGATCTCAGACGGAAGCTTAGACACAGAAGCATCTCGAAAAGGAAAGAACTAATTTACTTGCCAAATGGGCAATCAGACTTCAGAAGGGCTGGCTCATCAAATATAAACCGCAACTGGAATTTAAAGGGGAAATAAAAAAAGCCAATTTCCTAAGGTTTCTGAGTTCATGTTAGTCTGTTCCTGGTAGAGAAACCGTCTTCCCACGTGATGATTCTGGTCGCCGAGGTCAGACGGCAGCACAGCTAAAATCAGGAAGGACCTGGTTTTTATGGTGGAAACCAGGTTTACAGGAAACATCAAGATTTATTATTTTATATCAAAAACAGTTAGGTGACCCTGCTATTTTTTCAGGTATGTGGTATTGACGTGCCTGGTCCGGTCGGAGGCCGGGCTTCTTTGCTGCCTGCCGTTTGCCCCAAACTTCTAGGCCCCACGGATATAGCAAAACAGGCCCCAGGACTTGCTGTTTCCTGGTGGGTGGGTGTTGTCTTGGTGTAGACCCAGTCATCCTCTCTGTGCCGGGTCCTCAGTCTCTGCAGCGCGGGCCTGGGGCTTCTGTGCAGTGCGGGGTGCCCTGCACACCTTGGGCTCTGCACCTGCCCTCTCCTGCGGGCCCCACCACTGACAGGCTCTGCTGGCTTTGGTTTCAGATATTTGGCATCTTCCTGGCGAAGACCTTGATCTCGGACATTGAGGCGGTGAAGGCAGGCCATCACTTCTGAGGAAGAGAGGTGAGCAAGCAGAGCTGAGCCGTGCCGTGGAGGCCAGAGCCCGTCGCTGTTGTCAACTGGACATCCAGAGGGTGAGAAGTGGATGCACCGAGCCAGAGCCAGCACCTGTCTTCGGCATCAGCGTGACATGACCTCTCTGTTTCTGTTTGCTGCTGCTGAAGACTGAGGAGCCCCCTCTTATCTGCACAGACTTGTGATGGGGACCACTACTCCTCCACTCGGGGTCTACCCAGAGACAGAGAACATGTCTTTAAGTGAGGGTGGCAACCCTGGGGGACAGAGGCTCCCCTGGCTGTGAAAAGGGCCTGACTCGGTTCTCCCGGAGACTAAGCGTATCTGCAGGGCACCCAGGCCTCCCCACTCGTGTCATCGGGTCATCAGTGCTGGCCCAGAGGGCAGCCACATCTGCTGTGAGCGGGACATGGTGGGGTGGCCCAGCAGACACGGACAAGGCTCGTCACAGCAGCAGCTGGGCGCTGCCTGGAGTTGGGCAGGGGAAGGGGCAGAAGTGGACCATGGCACTGGGGCCTGTGGTGTCTGCACAAGTTGGGGGGTGTTAGCAGGATCCTCAGCCATGTTCAAGTGAGCCTGAGCCATGTGTGGACTGGTGCCACGGAGTGCCTCCTCTGCTGCCCCTCCCAGGGCAAGAACTGCCTCCACTCCACAGCATTATGCCCCTATGGCCCGGGGGTGGGGACCACGGGCAGGGTTCTCCTCTGAGAGTCAGCGCTCCCTTTCTTAAAGCGTGTAAATAGTTTATTTATAGGGATAAGAATGTTCTCACACCATTTCTTCATTTCCTCTGGCCTCCCCTGCAAGCAGCCTTACACGGGGTCTGGGACTGAAGCCATCCCTTTCAGTTCCCTTGAGTGTCTCAAGAACCAACCCCATCAACTTCTCCTTTTGGTCCCTAACAACCCGGGTGCCCATACATGCTCCCCCTTCCCCTGTGCACCCTGGCTCACATGCACCCACTCCCCTCCCCAGCTTGGCCTCACTGTCTTCTGGTCTTGGTGCTACTGAAACCGTCACCCGGAACTTGAATCCTGACACACACACCCCTTCTCCCCCATCCCCCGGCAAGTCCAGGGAGCCCCAGCCAGAGGCGCCAGCCCGGAACCATTGACCAGGGCTCCCGTCGAGGCCATGTGCTAAGGGCCGCTGGCCGGCCTGGCATTTGCCTCTCCCTGGAGAGTGAAACCGCAGCCCCGCCCCTGTGTGGAGCCGCAGGCCCCAGCCTGCAGCCATGTAGGAGCTCAGGATAGTGTTGATTTTTTTTTTTTTTTTTTGCTAACTTTTGTGAAGGCCTCCCCCCACTGTCCCCAATGAGGTTACCTGCTGTGACCATGTCCACCCCTCCTGGAAGGGCAATCCTGGGGCTTGCTCTTGGAAATGAAGTCTGTCTTATGTACTGAATGGTCCACCCCTCCACCCCCTCACCTCCCCCACCCCCGACCTCCCCGCTAGGGATAGCTGGGATGTTTGTGCGTCTTTGGCTGGGCTACTTTCTAATGCTTTTCTGGATCTCGTACCAGTTCTGTCCTCATCGTTCAGGGATTGAGTGCTACCTTCACTTACTTGCTGACGTGTACATGCTCGTGTGGTGTATACTGGTGGGTGTTTGTTGATGATGTTACGAGTTTTTGTTTTTTTATAATTTTCTCTGTAGACTAGAGGAAGAAGAATGCTTGTGTTTTCAGGAATTGAGATGCTTTTCTTTGACTGCCAAACTCTTTTATGGAATATATCTTTATATTAATGCTGTCGTCTCGGTGGTTTTTGTCTCGAGTGCCATCAGGATGGCATTAGGCATCGCAGTGGGAAACCCAGCTGCCAAGGGAACCAGGGGATTGGGTGTCGCTAGACATGACAGGATGGTGGATGGCAAAGGCAATCCGTGGTTGGCACAGTCTGAAATAACTGTCATCAAGTGATTGTCTTTTATTTTATTTTATTTATTTAATTTTTTTTAAGTGATTGTCTTTTAGATTCTGTGTGCCACTTTCAATCTCTCTTTGAATGGAGGTTACGACTGGAACAAGTGGGTTTGTGGGTTATGCCCAGCTAGGAGCACGAGGCAAACGTTGACTCTGTAGGCCAGAGGAAAAGCATTAGGCTACCTCTGTTCAGCCCCAGGCAGTTCGATCCAGCCAAGAGAGCTTGGGGACACTGGGTGGGAATCTGGGCCTGCTGCTCACGAGTGTGGCCTGTACCTACCGTCCCGTCTCTGAAGGGTTAGTGGCCTTGCCCACCTTGCCATGTACCTCTGACCCATCCTGCCCCGGGGAGATGGTGGCACAGACCGTCGCTGCTGGTACATGGACTCCTGAGAGCTCAGCTTCCCGGACAGCTCCTGCTGGCCCACCTGTCGAGGTCGACCTGGTGGCTGGACCCCTTGCGAGTCTTGGCAGCTCACAGCCCAGCTCAAGGTGAGGACTCCCTAAACTGTGGTAACTTGTCCTATGATTTTTTCAGAAGTTCAGTTTGTTTTTCAATTAGTTGACAAAGCTGGCCATTTCAGCATCCCCTGTGACTCGGCGTGGTTGGCTGAGAGGAGAGGGGAGACCCAGCGGAAGGGGTGCAGGTGGGGCCGGCTCCAGCAGACCATTCCCCGCTCAGGCCCCGCTCCCTGCCCTCCCAGATCCTAGGGAGGCCAGCGCGACCACGTCCCCTGCTCGCCTCCACGTACTCCCCGTAACCTTCCTGGCTCTTCCCTTACCCTCCTCCCTGTGCCCCTCCTGCACGCCCTCTTCTCAGGACTCGGCTGCATCGTTTTTTCTCTCCCTCTCATACCATCACTTGTTTCCCCATCCCCTAAAGCTTGCCCTGGCCTCCTTGTCTGCCCTCCTTTCCTTTCGTGGGGAGGCTCATTGTCTGGGCTCTCTTACCCCTGTCTGCTCGTCCAGGCCCCCAGTGCTCTTGGCATCTGCAGCACCCAGTACTCTCTCTGGACCATCCTTTGCTTCTGTGGCCCAGGCTCACCAGGTCTCTGACCCTCGCCTGCCCGTCCTTGTCACACCTGCCACTGCCCGGCTTCCCAGGCTCCAGGGGCGGCCCCTGCCCCAAAGCAAGGCTATAGGCTGGGCAGAAAAACCATCTGTGCTGGTGCTCTGGAAGCCTGGGCTTGGTTTCCCCCACGATTAACGATAAAAATGAATTGGATACAGAAGCTCCTGGGACATAGGAAGTGCTCCGGGTACTTAACAGTTAAACTCGGTCACCAGAAAGCTCCAAGGAAGCTGTTTTCGTGCCCAAAATGTGAGACTCAGAGAAAGGGGAATTCCTGTTGAGGATTTGGAAGCTCTAGATTCAAACTCTGGAAACCTGCCCCAGAACCTGTACCCATTAGAGTAGGTTTGGCGTCTGCTCCCTCTGACTTTGGAATATCGGCTCCTGCTGAGCAAAGCCACACCAAGGGCAAGCCTGGGAAGAAGCAGTTTCCTGAAGGTTGTCCAGCTAACAGGGCTCTGGGGCGGCTCAACAGGCGTTTGGAGGAGGCAGGGGAGAGCTCGTTCATGCATCTGTACCTGGATTTGAGAGAATATGGGGCTCAGCTTTGCTCCCGAGACCCTGGCTTTGGGCAGCAGGCTCACTTCCCTGCAAGGCCAGAGCTGCTGTCCACCAGGCAAGCCCATAGAGGTCTTTCCGCAGGGGGTGGTGAGGAATCCGACGAGGCCTTCTCTCCAGGGGATGCTAGGGAGGGAGCTGGCCGTGGGGTGGTGATGGGCACGCGTAGGAGTGTGGGCCTCTGCAATCGTACAGACCCCAGGGAGGAGCCCCCCAGAGGAGGAGGCTGGCCCAGAGACCAGCAGAGAAGGAACGGCCTCAGTGTCCCTCAGTGTTGGTAGCAGGGGCCACCTGACGGCTCTTGGTCCGCAGCCTCAGAGCACAGAAAGGCGAGGCGCTGTTGCAGTCAGCCCAGCACCCAGGGCGGCGTCCTGTCCTGGGAAGGGTCTGCCCAGGCTCAGGGGCTCAGTCACCCAGAGGCGCAGCGCCTTAGCTGGCCCGGGGGAGTGGAGGGACTGGACGACCTTCACAGGTGCGCGTTTCCAGCCCTAGGGTCATGCGCAGGGCCTGCCCACAGGCCACAGGGTTTTTAGGTTGTCTGTCCCTAAACTGTGCTAACTTGTCCCAAATGATGGATCTTGGTAAAGATGCTTCCATAGGCTTGTGTGTGTTATTCCAGAGGCTGCTGCCTGGCCTGCCAGGCCCGACGGGCACCCCGCAGTTCTCAATCACCCAGGCGCCCCGCGATCCCGAGAACCGCATACCTTGAGTGCCATCATCGTAGCTCCCTGTGAGCTCAGCAATACCTGGCCCTTCCTCCCGGGACTGCATGTGTGGGCAGCTGGTTCTCACAACAAGCCCATGCCTCTGGGGTCTGCAGGGCGCCTGCTGGGGGTGCCGTGGAGGAAGGACTGGGAAATGACTTCCAGGGGAAGAAAAGGTCAAGACTGCCTTCCCGTGGATGCTGTTCTGGTGACAGTTACCAACTTCTGAGAACCCGGCTTCAGAGGAGGGAGAGGAAATGAAGTCTTCCCCGGGGAGGTCTGAGACCGTATTTCCTCGCTTGGCCTCCTTGCCCTGCTCTGCATCTTGTAGTCCAGTGGGGGCTTCAGAGACTTGGTTTCATAACCACCAAAATAAATTACGGTAATTTTATCACCTCAAGCAACTTTAAAACTAGTCATTTTATATGTATAGGCTATCTAAAGATGCGCTAGTGTAATGTGAAAGAGTAGGTTTCCTGTTCCCCAGAGGCAACCACTGTTGAGTACCCTTCCAGAAAATGTTGACGTGTTTTCAAAAATTTTTTTTTGCAAACATCTTTTTCACACAAGTGAGCATCGTATTTTAACATAGTCTTCGACAATTAGCATTGCGTCATGTATCTCAGGGCCCTCTCTCCGCGAGTGTCTACCCATCCACGGGGCAATGTCACAGTCCCACTGCCCAAATGTCACGGTCCCACTGCCCACGGTGGGACTGGCCGGCCGGTGAATGAACCTGGCTCTATTCAGGGGAGTATGTTTACAGTCGCAGGTAACAGAAAACCCAGTTCAAACTGGTTTATACAATGAAGGGGAGGTTTTTGGCTCCTGAAACTGGAAAGTCCAGAGGTGGGGTGAGTTTCGGGGTTGGTTTGATCCCAGTGGCTCAGTGATGCCAACAGGATCTGGTTTCTTTTATTCTCTCTGCTGTGCCTTCCATCATGTGGAGGCAGCCGAGGCAGAAGGCAGGGAAGACGCATCATGGGCAATCTGGGGCCTTTCCGTGATGGGAATGGAATGGCCGGGTAGTGAAGCTGTGGAGGGAAGCCCCCACCTCCAACCAGAACCCCCCGTGCCTGTCCTTGCCCTTAAACCACCTGTGGATGGGTGAACGTCGAGGAGGCTGCCAACAGCCCTCACGATGCTTCTGCGGTGGATGTTTTAGTTGGTGTGGTGTTCTGTTACAGGGCCTTCTAAAGACTCCATGGTGTTTTGTTGTTAGAATTATTTTGCAAGGAAGACATGTTTTTGAAGGAGTTCTCTAGGGAGGTGGACTGACACTGTAATGCCTGGGGACTCGGGGGTGGGGCATGCCCGTCGCTGCGAGGCCGTAGCTGGGGTGCTGAGGGTGCTACGAGCATGCGCATCCGTGATGGAAGTACGGGCTGGTTCTGGACCAAGGAGTCTGGGTGGTGGGGCGACAACGTCTCTCCAAGGACTCCACCCAGGAGCCCGTGGCCCTGTCACAGCCCAGGTTGCACAGAGAGGCTGAGCAAGTCGGGCAAGGGAGCCCTTGCCACCTGCTTTACCCTGGGAGATGGGGTCACGTGGGGACAGTGTTGGGTGGCATCCTTGTTAACAAGTGGAGGACAAGCATTCCAGATGCAGTGCTGTCCTGGAGGTTGCATAGGGAGTGAGTCGCAGGGTCTGGGCAGACACAAGCCTGGCACCTGCCAGCCTGGCTGAAGCTCTAGGAGGTGCCACTTGCAGCCCCATCTCCCTGAACGCCCTGGTTCCTTGCGACGGGGCTCTGGGGTCCACACAGCTCGCTGCCCGATTGCTGCCCCCGGCAGCTTGGTTGACCCTGCTCCTGGAGGAGGGTGGTGCTCACTTCCCCAGGGAATCAGGTACATGGAGGCAAAACCAAGAGGAGTGGGGAAGGGAGAGGAGGAGGTCTGAGCCCTGTGGGACCACGTCCTCGGTGGAGACAGGGTTGGGCTGTGGGGGACTCTTCTGCTTCCCCTGCACTGGCAGGCTGCGGAACCAGCGTCGTGACGTGAGAGGAGGACGGGTATCCTGGACCCAGATTCGTTTGGGGTAGGACCTGTGCCCTGGTGGCGAGAGGCCTAAGGTTGAGTTTGGGCTAAAAAAAAAAAAAAAAAATTAATTTAAAACTTAGTACCCTCGTTTCCTCCCTTGTAAAGTGGGGATACTTATCTTCATTTCTCAAGGTGTTCAGGAATATTCAGTTGATTAGCAGAGATGAGAGCACGGGGAGCCATGACTCCCCAGCCCCCTGCGACTTGCTAGCTGTGTGGCTTTTGGCAAGTTCCTTCACCTCCTCGAGCCCTTTTTAGAAAATGGGGATGGTAATTCCCTGTTGTCCTCTTTGTGAGGATTAACCGGGACGGGGCAGGTGAAGTGTTTAACACGGGGCCAGGCTCCCTAGCATGTGCCTCCTGAATTTCAGCTGATAAGATGACTGAGTCCCCCCAGGCCGAGTTGCCTGAGCTCCAAGTAACAGCTCAGGCTTCCAGCCAGGCTGAAG